CTGGAGAAGACTCTTGAGAGTTCCTTGGACTGCAAGGAGATCCAACCAGTCCACCCTAAAGGAAATCAGTCCTGAATATTCATTGGAAGGACTGAGTTTGAAGCTGAAACTCCAATACTTTGACCACCTGATTTGAAGAACTGACTTATTGGAAAAGATCCTGATGCTGGGAAAGTTGAAGGAGGGAGGAGACGGGGACAACAGAGGGTGAGATGGTTGGATGGCATCACTGACTCCATGGACATGAGTTTGAGTAATCTCCGAGAGTTGGTGATGGACAGGGAGGCCTGGCGTGCTGCAGTCCATGGGGTCGCAAAGTCAGACACGACTGAGCGACAGAACTGAACTACTGTGTAAATAGTGTTGACTTAATCATTGGCCATGTGGTTGGATTCAATCTTCAGTCTCTTTTTTCCTCTCTGGGTGCTGGGTTGGCGCAAAACCCCAACCCTCTAATCACATAGTTGCTCTTTTTGATGACCAGCCCCCATCTGGGATCACTTCATTCATTAGCATAAACTCAGGAATGATCCATAGAGCTCATAATACACACACACCTATCAGTCAAGTAATTCTCAGGATACAGAAACACCCTCCAGAACCAGAGATAAAGGCCAAAATCTTTGTTACACAATAGTTGCATTTCTTCACGAATTTTAAAATCATTTTGTCAATATCTGCAAAAAAAGCTAGAGTTTTTATAAGGATTGCATTGAATCTGCAGATCAATGTGAGGAGTATTCAATATTAAAACAACAATATTGGACTTCCCCAGCAGTTCAGTGGTTAGAGCTCTACCTACCAATGCAGGAGGTGTGAGTTCAATACCTGATCAGGCCCTAACATCCCACGTGTTTCAGGTGCAGCAAATAAATTTTTTTTAATTTAAAAACTATTAAACAAAAAAAAAAATAAAAATAAAAATAAAAACTATTAAACAATATTAAGTGTTCTGATCCATGAAGATAGGCAGACTTTTCATTTATTTAGATTGTCTTTAATTTCTTTCAAATATGTTTTATAATTTCAGTGTAAAAGTCACATGCTATTTTGTTAAGAGTTATTCCTGAGTATTTTACTCTTTCTGATGCTCCTGTAAATGAAATGATTTTCTTAATTTCAGTTTCAAGATTATCTTATTTATTGCTGGTGTACAGGAATACAATTGATTTTTAAATTTAAATATTGTACTATTTTAAAGTAGAAACAGGTATCTGCGTTAATGATTTTAGTGCCTTGATGCAAGAGTTTGGGTTCATAAAATTCTCTCCTGAAACTATCTATCTGCAGACCTGTTCTGCCAGATTTCCCAGAGCAGAGTGCCTCATTCCTGATCTCTGCCCTGAAGCAAGTCAGCTACTGCAGTGGCTAATGACCTAATCCTTTTAAAGCCAGATGATGAGTGACATTCTTTAGTTAGCATCTGATTTAGGCATCAAAGTAATAGTGGCCTTGTATAATGGATTGGGAAATTTTCCCTCCTCTTCTATTTTCTGGAAGAGTTTGTGAAGGATTGGTGTCAATTTTCCTTTAAATATTCAGTAGACTTCACTGGTCTTCACTACTTCCTTCTTTGTAGGAAGATTGTTTAATACTAATTCAGTCTCTTATCATAGGCCTATTCAAAATTTCTGTTTCTTCTTGAATCTGTTTTGTTAATTTGTTCATGAATTTATCCATTTCATCTAAATTATCTAATTTGTTGGCATACAGTTGTTTGTGGTTTTCCCTTATAATTCCCTCTTTCATTCCTGATTTTAATAATTTGAGTCTGTGGTTTCTGTCTCTTGATCTGTCTAGCTAAAGGTTTGTCACATTGCGTTAGCTTTTTTCAAAGAATCAAGTTTCCGTTTCATTGATTTCCCTTGATTTTTAAAAAAACTGCTTATTTATTTGGCTGCACCAGGTCTCAGTTGCAGCATGTGGGCTCTTAGCTCCCCAGCCAGGGATAAAACCCACGCCCCCTGCCTCGGAAGTGTGGAGTCTTAACCACTGAAGTGCCGGGGAAGTCCCTTTTCTATTCTTTATTTATTTCAGCTCTAATCTTTATTACTTCCTCCCTTCTGCTTGCTTTGTATTTAGTTTACTCTTCCTTGTTTCTTTCTTTTTTTTTTTAATAACTTTATTCATTTCTGGCTGTGCTAGTTGTGGCTCACGGGCTTAGCTGCTCCACAGCATTTGGGATCTTCCCAGAGCAGGGACTGAACCTGTGTCTCCTGCACTGGCAGGCAGACTCTTTACCCCTGAGTCACCGGGAGGCCCCCAGATGCTGCTTTTGAGAAGGGGGTCCTCTATTTGGAGTGTCATTGGCAAGCCATGAACATACAAGTTTCTCTCTGTCCTATAGAGGTGGTTGTGTTTCTTTAAAGCAGGAACATCAATTTTTTTTAGGGATTGTGATGGTTAATTTTATGTGTCAGCTTGACTAGGCTGTGATGTCATGATAGCTGGTGAAATATTATTTCTCAGTGTGCCTCTGAGGATGTTTCTGGAAGAGATTGGAATTTGAATTGGGGAACTAAGTAATACAAATGGCTCTTTGATGTGGGGGGCATCCTCCAATCCACTAGGGGTTCTGGTGGTGGTTTAGTGGCTAAGTCATGTCCGACTCTTGCAACCCCAGGGACTGTAGTCAGCCAGGCTTTTCTGTCCATGGGATTTCCCAGGCAAGAATAGTGGAGTGGGTTGCCATTTCCTCCTCCAGTGGATCCTCCTGACCCAGGATCGAACCTGCGTCTCCTGCATGGCAGGCAGTCTCCTGCATTGCAGGCTGATTCTTTACCGTCTGAGCCATGGGGGATCTAATAGAACAAAAAGGAGGAGAAAGGGCAAATTGGCTTCCTCTTTCTGCTTGAGCTGAGACACCCATTTTCTGCCCTTGGTGCTCAGGCTGTCACACTCAGATATGGACTCACATCAGCAGCCCCCTGATTGGCAGGCCTTCAGACTCAGACTGAATTACATCATTGGCTTTCTGGTCCTCTAGTTATAGAGGGCAGATGGTGGGACTTCCTGGCTTCTGTAACCAAGTGAGTCAGTTCCAATAATAGATCTCCGCTTATATATATATATATTCCTATACATCCTGTAGTTTCTATTTCTCTGCAGAACCTTGACTAATGCAAGGATCTTCCCTCCAATATGCATTTGGAGGATCCTCAGCAGGGGGGGAAAAGTTTCTATTTCCTTATGGAAAGCGGTGATGATATAACTAGTTTTGGAATCAAAATATTTCCAGAACCACCATTATTAACTGTGAGAACTTAAGATTGGTCCTTCACCTCTCTGAATCTTAGCCTCTTATTCTGCAAAGTGGTGATGATGAGAAGCAGTGCCCTAGCACATGTGTGTGTTAGTTGCTCAGTTTTGTCAGACTCTTTGTGACCCCATGGACTATAGCCCGCCAGGCTCCTGTGTCCATGGGATTCTCTAGGCAAGAATACTGGAGTGGGTTGCCATTTCCTCCTCCAGGGGATCTTCCCAACCCAAGGATCAAACCTGGGTCTCCTGCATTATGGGCAGATTCTTTACCATCTGAACCACCAGGGAAGTACAGAGTTGTGGTGGAGTTAATGAGAAGCAGTGCCCTAGCATAGTGCCTGGTAAATAGTGAGTGCTCAATAAATGCTCGCTGCTGTTTACTTCTTTTGACTTCTTGTTTTTAACCTCATGTTCTACTCCATCTGGGCTGATATACAATGAGGTGCAATGGACACAAACATTCAGTCCATTGCATCTCATTGTATTGAAGATGTTTATTTTAAAAACACTGTCAGCAATTTTCCACCTAGGAATCCATTTACCTACTTGCAAATATACAAAAAACTTAGTCAGATTTGTCTACACTCAGCCTTACAATGGGGCTTTCCTGGTGGCTCAGACGGTAATGAATCCACCTGCAATGCGGGAGACTGGGTTCGATCCCTAGGTTGGGAAGATCTCCGGAAGGAGGGCATGGCAAACCACTCCACTATTCCTGTCTGGAGAATCCCCATGAACACAGAAGCCTGGCGCACTACAGTCCCATGGAGTCGCAAAGCGTCGGAGACGACTGAGCTACTAAGCACACACAGCCTTAGAACAGAATCCCACTCAACAGCTGAAAAGGAAATGAAGTAGAGTGCTATGCTGTGTCCACACGCAACACAAGTGTGCGTCCTTGGTGGGCTCTGACTGAAGGGCACCGACTTTGGTATAAGCAACTCAGACTAGACAACGGTGCCGTTTCCTGAGACGGGGAATACCGTCGTGATCAGTGGTTGGGATGGCCAACTCTGCTAGCCCTTTAGCAACCAGTCGTCTCTGGATGCCCCCAGAGAGACGCTGGCAGGCTTGCCAGTACCGCTCAGGAGAACTCTGAGGTTTTCCCTGATCCTCCATGCTGTTTCCTCTAAAGTGTCACCAACTTCATTTACATTAAAACACCGTAGACTGGAGAAGGAAATGGCAACCCACTCCAGTATTATTCCTGCCTGGAAAAGTCCATGAACAGAGGAGCCTGGCGGGCTGCAGTCCATGGGGTCGCAAAGAGTCGGGCATCACTTACTATGTGTCAAGAAGTGTTCTAACTTAGAACTTCCCAGAGCTCTAGAGGTTTTAATTCATTTACTTCTCCTATCAATCTTAAGAATATAGGTACTACTGTTTTCGGGTTTTACTACTGAGAAAACTGAGGTAGAGAGGTTACTTGAGGATTTGAACCTACGACCTCTTCTAGGTAGGGCCATCCTCCAGCCCCGAAGACGCGGCCGGGCAGCCATCCCGTTTGTAGTCCTCAAAGACTTCAGCTCCCGGCAGCCCTCGCGCCAGCAGTTCGCCACACACAACAAATCCCGGCGTGCTCCGGGCGGCTTGGGGTGGAGGGTTCTAGAAGGCGTGACGTGGGGTCGGGAAGCGGGCTCAGAGGCGGCTACCTCTCGGCAGTCGCTGTGGCCGCTGCTGCCGGGCCCGGGGGCGCGGACGGCCGGGGCCGCGGGCGCAGTCTCCTCGTCTCCCCGGCCATGGCGGCGCTCGGCCGGCCGTTTAGCGGCCTTCCCCTGAGCGGTGGCTCGGACTTCCTGCAGCCGCCGCCGGCCTTCGCCGGTCGGGCCTTCCCGCCGGGGACGGAGGGCGCCGAGCTGGTCCCGCGGCCGGGACTTCGCGCCGCCCCGACCAGCTCCGGCGGGAGCGCGGCGCGCGGACGGTGAGGAGACTGGCTGACGGCGGGGGCGGATGTGGGCTCCGGCACGGGCTAGTTGACCCTTCTCGCGACTCTCGCGGGGGCTCTTCAGCCTCAAGTTGAGGATGAGGAGATTGAGCCCCACAGGCGGTTGCCGTAAATCGCGGAGGTCGCACAGCGCGGGGGTCCGGTTCCGACCTCGGCGCGCTTGCGCCCGGAGAAGTGAGGAAAGGTCTGCTCACCCAGGGCGTGCGGAGATGGGAGCCGGACAGACCCGGGCCTGGAGCTGCCCTGGGCGCGCACACGCCTCGCTCCTTCCAGACTGCGGCCCGGCAACTGTTGTTTGTAACTTTCAGCCACTCTCTGACTCTTGAGTTTCCTCATCCGCAACTTGGGAGAGAAATGGGTCCTTCTAGTGGGATCATAAACTAAAGTGCTCAGCACAGTCCCCGCCCCGATACGTTTTCCCTACGCTGGTCGCCCCAGTTTATCTCCCCTGGTCTTGACCGAATGAATTTAGATTTCAGTCTGACTTTGTCAAGACCAGCCAACACTTTTACCTGACTGACCGTGTGACCTGTATATCCATCCCACAGGGCAAGGGAGGGGAGAGTTGATAGTAGTGGGCTGGACAAGATTATTGGAGCCTGAAAGTGGATGCTGAATGTACCAGCTCAATAAATTTCTCAACTGACTGATTTTTTTTGTTTAACAGTATTTCAACTCACTGTAGAAAGAAACACAAGCGAGAGGAGGAGGATGATGAGTAAGTTTCAAGTGCTTTTTCAGTCACTTATGGTCACTTAGTTTAACCTATTTTATATCCATAACTATTTAAGTGAATAGGTGGAGCATTAGGTGTCTCTGAATGGAGGCCCAAGGAACTGATAACATGGGTTACCTTTTAGAGAAGTGAGCTGGTCAGGTCGGAGGGAAGCTTGTAACTGTATAAGCGATTGTCATGCTTGAACTTTGAGACATATGATTATTATTACATGCACAAAATTAAAAGAAACTCGCAGAAGGCAAAGTCTTATGCTCCCAGTTCTCCCCAGAGGGTTATCCTTATTGCCTGATTCCCCTTATGGAAGATAATGTAAAAATGTGAAAATATATTTATAGCTATATAATTCTAGTTTTTTACATTTATTAGTTAACATACTGTTCACACTGCAGCACTGGTGTTTTCATTTGACTCTCCTGTAGCTTGTTGCATATGGACACACAGAGTTCTTTTTTTTCTCTCTTTTTTTTTCTTTTTTTTCCACATAGAGTTCTATCTCATTTCTTTTTCAACAGTTGAATGGAATTCTGTTGTAAGGCTAGGAATAGGTAATTAACCAGTCTCCCGGTGATAGATTTCTAAATTAATTTTAATACTAACAAATCTAAAGTGACCATTCTTAAGTTCCTTGTGTTTGTAATTAGATAAATGGATTCCTAGATGGGAAATTGCTCAATCTTTAAGTGTATGCATTTTGAATTTTAAGCAAGAGTTGTTGCCAGTTTATACTCCTTTAAACTTTGGGAATGCGTGTTTCTCCATCTTCTCATCAGAATTGTATTTTCAAACTTCTTGATCATCACTTAACTGATAGGGAAAATACTGCATATTATAGGCAGGCAGTCTAAAAAAGAAAATGAGTAAAAGATTCCCCTAAAGAGGATATCAAAATGACCAAACAAATGGAAAGATATTTGACCTCATCAGTATTGAGGGAAATGCGTATTAAAGGCACAGTGAGAAACTACTCCACTACCAGATATTGGAGGGTTCTGTAGCACCAGGAACTTACAGACGTTATTGGGTGAGAATGTAAATTGCTACAACACTTTGGGAAACAGTTTTGAATGAGTTGAAGGCACACATACCCATTTACCGAGCAGTTCTTTTTTTGACTACGCATGCTCATCAGAAGATATATACAAGAAAGTTTATGGCATCCTTGTTCATGCCGGCTCAAAATTGGAATGTCCCTTAACAGTATCTGGACATAATAAATTTTTGCTGAGTTCAATTCAGCAAAAAAGAAACACTGCACTACACTTACCAACCCAGATGTGTCTTATAAGCAATAGTAGGAACAAAAGAAACATAGCATGAATGTATACATATTCAAAGAATTCCTCATATGAGGGTCAAAACCAGGCAGAACTAAAAACTTTTAATATTGAATATTTACATACATGATGTGTATTTTTAAAAATGAAATGGTTATTATAAAAGTGTATACTTAAAGGGAGGAGGGAATAGAGTACCATTTAGGGATGCTGACAGCATTCTGTATCTCGAATATTACTTTCATGGATTTTTGTTTTATATTTATTATATGTACTTTTATGCATGTAGGCATTTTATAATTAAAGGAGTTAGATCACTGTTCCATATTTTGTAAATTACATGCGATTTTGAACATCTTTTCCTTTAAGCCATTTGTGTTTCATTTTGGGTGAATTCTTAATGTTTCTGCAGATCTTTTATTGACTTATTGGTCTTTTTCTTATTAGTCTATAAGAAATCAGTTTATTATGTATGTTGTGTTTTCCCCAGATTTGTTGTCTTTCAACTTTTGTGTGATTTATTTTTTTTTTTGCCAACAGAAACTTTTAATTTTCTCACCAGGTTGATACATAGACCTACAAGACAGTAGGTTTGAAAGTTGCCTCAGTTTAAAAAACTTTTGAGACTTCTCTGGTGGTCCAGTGGTTAGGACTCCATGCTTCCAATGTAGGGGGCGTGGGTTTGATTCCTGATTGGGGAACTAAAATCCTGCATGTCACGTGGCATGGCCAAAAAATTTAAAATAAAAAACCTCTAGACCAAACAATATTTATGTTCTTTATAGCTTTGGGATTGCTGTGGATGCACAAGGACCTCTTTGGTTTTATCTTTTGAAAGGGTGGAAGTGTTGGTTGCTTAGTCATGTCCAACTCTTTGCGACCCCATGGACTATAGCCCAAGACTCTCCTCTGTACACAGAATTCTCCAGGCAAGAATACTGGAGTGGGCCATTCCCTTCTCCAGAGGATCTTCCCGACCTAGGGATGAAACCGAGGTCTCCTGTATTGCAGGCAGATTGTTCACTGTCTGAGCCACCAGGGAAGTTTCCTAGGAGATCATTAAATCATTCTAATGTCATAAATAAAAAATTTGAAGTGTAAAAACCATTGACTTTATTTATTTATTTATTTTTTAAAACCATTGACTTTAAAAGTTAACCATCTTTAATGTGCAGATGGAGAGATTGAGGCCCTGCGAGGATAAGGGACTGGACAGTTGGATATTGAATGCCCAGAAGTGTGTTGCCTGCCTGCCACTTCAGTGGCTCTTATCAGAACTTTAAAGTCTTTTATATCCCATTTTCTCTGGGACTTAATCATCATCAATCTCTAATTATTTGCAAAGTAGACCCAGAGCCATGAAATTTTTTAGCCCAAATTGTTAGAGATCAGAACCCAACTCTGATACTCAGTTGCATTTAATAGTTTTAATTGTTAGATATGATAGGAAATTACCTATTCTTTCTAAAGTTGTTCTGCTCCTTCTTAGATGATTTCCTATGTGTATAACTTTTTGTTCTGCTTTCCAAAACATCAGATACTATCCAAATATTATAGAAGTGTTTAATTTATGGAGAGACATTCTTAATACTTATGAGTTAAAACTAATTATAAGCTAAACATATGATTGAGATTGTGCTTGGTGATGCCCAGGCAATAACGTACTTTTGGTCTGAATACTCAGAGCAGGACTGGTTGTGTATTCAGGACACCCCTCAGCAGTAAAGAATCAGCCTGCAGTGCAGGAGACTCAGGTTCGATCCCTGGGTCAGGAAGCTCCCCAGAGAAGGAAATGGCAACTCACTTCAGTTTTTTGCCTGGAAAATTCCATGGGCAAAGGAGCCTGGTGGGCTACAGTCCATAAGGTTGCAAAAGAGTTGGACATGACTTAGTGACCAAACAACTAAATGTTGGGCGTGTTGTAGTGCTTACAAATACTAGTTTGTGTTAAGAGCTTTAGCAGTTGAACTTCCCTAACAAGGCAGGAGGTTTTAGTGAGAATTCTCTATGAAAAGCATAGAGGATACAGCATCTGTCTCTGGGATCTGGTACCCAAAATACAGCTCACCTTATGTGACACTTCAGAGGGGACACTTGAGTTTTCTACTTTCTTGTTTCCACATGTGCAAAGCAATCTGAATTGAACTCTTACAGTCTCAGTGAAATATAAAATTTTCTAGAAAGTGAAGATAGTTTATGTTGCAAGCTGGGAGAAAAGTGCACCCCATTAGGCAGGGACCCATAGAGCAAATGACAGCCTCTACCATTTCTGGCGAGAACCAAGAAATTAGCAAAGTCATCTGCATCTGTAATAGTTGCTGCAGACCTGATGAAGCCTGTATTTTTGCCCTAAGGGAATACAGGATGTCTGCTGCCCACCTCCTCACATGCCCAGTGTAATGGAGCAGCAGCAGTATGAAAAAATAGAGCTGGCCCTGAATTGCCACTTTGTGATTCTTGGTTTCTTTACTTCCCACTTGACCTTTCCAGAGCTGAGTAAGTAAGAATGACTTTTAAGTTCCCATATCAAATGCTTCTAATCTGGAAAGGCAAAGTCTTGCAGGTGCAACCTAATTTGACAGATGTTGAGGGGAACATCTCAGGGCGACTGTGAAAATGACAGAATAGAAAATGTATGATTTTCCATCTTGTAATCACATACTGTCAAAAGTTAAGAGTTTTTTTCATAGCAGAATTTGATTAGCAATGGCGGTGATACATGTCTCATTTTTCTTTTTTCAGTTGTCCAATAAGAAAGAAAAGGCTAACTGAAGCAGGGCTCTGTGCTGGTCCTAATGACTGGATTCTTTGTGCACATCAGGATATAGAGGGTCATGGAGTAAATCCGTGCACTAGTGGCCTTTCTGCACCTGGCATGTTAGATGTTATTTGTGAAGAGATGGATCAGACAACAGGGGAACCACAGTGTGAAGTTGCCCGAAGGAGGCTTCAGGAAATTGAGGACAGGTAAATGGGCAGCATATCCGGCTGGCTTCTTGTTCCTATGTAACATCTCTGCTCTTTGAAGTTAGTCTAATTCATCATTTGGTGATTCCTTTAATCTTCAGCCTGTCTAACTATAAAAATCACGAAGCTCAAAGTATGCACTTTAAATGTTAAAGTAAGCGTTTCTCATAGAACTGTACTAAATATTTTCATTTACTATCTCTGAATATTAATTTTTTGGTTTATGCGGGCTAAAACCTTAAAATTTGGCATCTTTTTTTGTCAAACATTGAACAGCTCTTTTGTTTATACTTCTTTCTCTCCAAAGTAGAGTCTGATACTTTACTTGACCTTTTGCTGTAGCACCTGTTGAGTTTATCTTGTTCTACTTTAAAAATTTTGTCCAATTAATAGTATGAGTTTAACCAAATAATTTTTCTTTCTTTGCATCTGCCTTTGTTTAGAATAATTGACGAAGATGAAGAAGTTGAAGCTGACAGAAATATTAATCGTCTCCCCAGCCTTGTCCTTTCTGATACCATGAAAACAGGTTTGAAGAGGGAATTTGATGAAATCTTTACAAAGAAAATGATTGAGTCCATGTAAGTTTTGGTTTCTGGTTTCCATTCAACTCTGATCTTTTTTAAAAATTCTTTTAAATTTATTTTTGGCTGTGCTAGGTTTTCACTGTCGTGCCCAAGCTTTCTGTAGTTGCAGCAGTCGGGACTACTCTCCAGTTGTGGTGCTTTCTTGTTGCAAAGCACAGGCTTTAGGGCATGCAGGCTTCAGTGGTTGTGGTGCATGGGCTTGACCCTCAGCTTGTGAAATATTGCACCAGGGATTAAACCCATGTCCCCTGCATTGGCGGTCAGATTTTTTAACCGCTGGACCACTAGGGAAGTCCCCAGATATGATCTTAGAAGGAAGACCCAGTGTCTCTAGACACTTCCTGATCACCAACCGAGTGAAAGCTCAGTAGGTTTTATGTTTAGCCCAGGTTGGAGACCTTTTCTTAGTTCATTGGGGTGAGCGGAATGCTGTGCAAGTGGGAATTGGAAGTTCACAGGAGTGGCTGCCTTGTCTATTTACCCCCTGGGTTGTTGTGAATTCTGAAATGCACTGATAGTCTAATACTTGGGAATGGGAGGATTGGCAAGAAAGAACCCATTCTTTCAAATTACTGTGATAGGTTGTAGGAACCACACTTGAAAACTAGCTGTTTACGTGGCTCTCTCAGTTATCTTGGACCACCATTAAGACCTTGGAAAAAAGTGAAAAGTTTACCAGCAGTCAAAAAAAGTTATCACAAAGGGCACAGTCTAGAGCTCATATTCATATCTCACAGTGTGTGGCCCCTCAGGCCTTTAGCTCTAAGAGCCATTTTGCTCTTCATTTAGACCATTTGATGAGCTCAGTTATCTGGTTTCCTTTACCATCAGAGTAGAAACACACAAACAGCAAGTGAGCAGAATAAACTCACAATTAGTGAGCAGTGACAGTACAGTGTAAGGACAATAGAGGAAATGAAAGCAAGCATAAGAACCTAAAAAGCAAAGCAGCCTGGGCCCCATTAACATAAAACTAATGACAGCCTGTAATTAATAATAATGACTATGGTCTCAAGTGGCCCTTACTCTGTAAAATACAGTTGTCTCTCAGTATCCATGGGGGATTGCTTCTAGGACCCCTACAGATACTAAAATCCAGGGATGCTTATGTCTCATATAAAATGGTCCAAATCAAAACCCCACAGATACGGAGGGCCAGCTGTAGTAGGCAAGGTATAAAGTGCCCTGTAGGTGTTTCCTAGAAAAGACTTTCAGCAGACTTGGTACTGTGAAGGTAAGTGTCAGATATCTGAAAACTTCTCTTAGGCTACTAGTCCCACTGGTGCTAGGTAGATGACTGTCTTTAGACATTGGTTTCTCCTACTGCTGGATGTTAGCTCACGGGAGTTTTGCATTAGCTTCCTAGCTTGAGTTTATAATTAACTACCCAGCCCTGAGGGTGGGTAAATAGTTTAGCCACGAGTAAGCAGGTCATATTGCCCTCCAGTGTAAAGCATTAGCACTTTCTGCTCTTGGTAGTTTTCCAGAAGCTAACCTTTGCGGGGTGTTCTTCATTGTTTGTGTTTTATTTTGCCTTGCTCTTGGGTCCCAGAAACCATCAAACCATCACTAGATGAAATAGATTGGAGGTGGTAGACACAGACAGTGACTTACTGCACAAAGCATTATATACTTCATAGCTGTACTAAAAAGCAAAAGGCTTGCTGAGATATTTTTAGTGTGTTTAGCCAGTGTTTCTTTTTATTTATAATGGTTTAGTACAAGATAGTAACCCATATATGCTAATACTAACCACAATTTAAGAAGAAACTATAATGTTAAATCAAGGGCCTCTGTTTCTTATATTGAACATTTATATTCTAATCACAGCATCATTGCAACCAGTTGGTTTGCTTACAATGCATGCAGAACTCTAAAATTTTATGTACTTGAGTGGCCTTTGTAAAGATAAGTTTGGATTGTCATAATTCTGTTTTGATCACAACGAATCCTTTTTTTTTTTGGTGGCTGCCCAGATCTTAATTGCGGCACACAGCATCTTTTAGTGGCAGCATGTGAACTCTTAGTTGCAGCATGTGGGATCTAGTTCCCTGAACAGGAGTGGAACCTGGGCCCCTGCATTGAGAGTGCCCTCCCAATGTGGAGCCCCTGGCCTACCAGGGAAGTCCTTCCATCAATTTTTATATACTAGGTGGCAAACAGTAGTTTTTCAACGTATGTCTTTTTATTTCTGTTTTGTAAAGTTGTTGATACAAATACATATTTCCTGTCTTAGGAGCCGTCCTTCCATGGAGCTTGTGCTTTGGAAACCTCTCCCTGAACTCCTTTCTGATAAGCCAAAGCCATCATCTAATGCTAAGAACTACACAGGAGAGAGCCAAACTAAGCACGCAGCTGCTGGCACTGCCTTTCCTCAGAGAACTGAACTGTTCTTGGAACCTCGGCCAACAGGGTTGCCTGTTTACAATAGTTTGGAGACAGCTGCTTGCACAGAAGAGGAGATGGAACTCTAGAAACCAGTTTCTACACTAAAGTTGTCATGTTGCAGAGGCTTATGTGTTCAGTCATGAGCCTGCTTGTACAGTATAGGGACTTGAAAACGGGTGTAATATCTCCACCTGTGATTTGGGGTGGGACTCTGATTTTGGGTAGCCATTTCTTGAAATTCAACTTCTTGCCAAGGAAACTTGTCTCAAGGGAAAAGCAGTTTTCTAGGGGGCTTATTAAAGGAATGTGAGAGTACATTCTGCAGAGTCAAGTATAGAAGCTGTATGTGACTTTTAAGTCATCTGTCACATTGTCTCAGTCATTCAGATATTTGGAGAATATTCAGACACTTGGGTTGAAAACGATGCATTAAAAAAACTAGTGCTCTCCCTACTACAAGTGTGCCCTGACGGTTGAGCCACAACTTCATCTTCAGATAAATGAGTTCTGTTTATAATGGTGACTAGATATTACTGGGGAAGAGGAAGATGACAGTAGCTTAGGCCTATTGCTGGGGAATTTAACAGAGGCTCTGAAACTTGTATATTTGTTGTCAGTTCAGTGTAGCTCTATTGATTAAATAGCCAGTAGTGTTGTGGCTCCCCTCCTTGCCTCTGACGATGCAATGGAAAATACAAAGAAAAGGTTTTTCCTCGAGGCTTTTTTTACCCTGTGCTACTGTTGCTCCTGGGTTTCCCTTGCATAATTGCTAAACCCAGCTGTTCAGTGATGTTTACAGCCTAATTAACTTTGAGTGGTAGTTTAGAAGATTGAGAGGTAACCAATGTGCGAACTGGTTCTGGGAGAAGCATCCTTAAGTAATCTGAGGAAGTGCCGTATCAGCCCAGCCCAGCATATTATTTCAGTAGTTAAAGAAATGTGCCTGTAGAAGCAAGTTGTGGTTTTTTTTTTAATGTTAATTTAGGAAATGTTGACTGATATAATTAACTGGGCACATACAAGTGACATTGAGATTTACTGAATAGCCAGTTTGCCTGGTACTTCAACTCTTTGTGCAGTAAGCCTAGAAGTTACTAGAGAATAGCTTTCTGCCAGCCAGAAATCCTCATCTGGGGGACCCTACCCAGGCTCAAGGTGTCCTCTGAGAGTAATCAGGATTGCAGTGTTTTTTTTTCTCAGGAACAGCTCTTCTGTGTGGCAAGGACTCAGTAGTACGAAGTAAAGTGACCATCCCTTTAGTGCTACAGAATACCCACTATAACTTATTAAATGAGTGTAATACTGGCCCTTTTATCAGACAGCAGGAGACCACCCCAGTTCTTTTTGTTTCCTGGGTTTCTTTTCTTTTGTAGGAATCACATACCTTGTGTAGAAAAAATGGTTTATGCCAAGTAGAGGTGACTTTAGGAGGCAGCTCCCAGGCAATTTTGAAACCCATGCCGAAGTCCCTCCCCTTGTTACAGATGGCGTAGAAGTCACAAGTCTGTTAACTGGACTGTTGCTTCTCCTGCCTGTAGTTCCTGCTTTTTCTATTTCTGTCTGGATAGTCAGGAAAAGATTTAATGTTTAATATTTAAACAAAATATTTAATGTCTACACAGTAAAATTATTCAGACTTCAAACCAGTATTGAAACCAGTTGGAAACCAGCTACTAGTTTCTTAATCTCAGATTTAGAGATGAATGTAAACTGTGTTCTGTTGAAATGTGCACGTGTTTGATTCAGCCATGTCAAGAATTGCCTCTAGGTCATTGTTTAATGGGACCAACTTGTAACATTTGTAGCCTTAAAGAAGTCTCCAGCTAAAAAGTTAGTTCTGCTACAGCTCATAAAGAGGAAGTGACTGCCTGGAATTTGGAGTTAGTCCCAGTGTTGGGGTGAAGAAGAGATGACAGTTTTCCAAAGAAGGACACACACACTTAACACTGTCCTCTGTAGGGGTGTTGGACAGGCCTGGGATCCAAGTCTGTACAGTGAACAGTAGGAAAGAGCTCTCTGAACAAGGCTCTGATACCATGGCTATATGTGGGAGAGAACTAGCAGGATTCCGTTAATTAAAATCCAGGCAGAACTTGTTTCAGGAGTCATTTTATCTGACACGATCATTATTTCTGCGGGAAACATGGATGTTCAGTGCGCCTTTTTAAACTCGCATTCATTTGTACAAAAATTTTCTTCATCCTTGTGGTGCTTACTCATCTGAGCCGTCTCCATAGGCCCTATGACTTGCTTTGTTTCCCTTTTTGTAGGGTGAGGCTTTTGTTTTTGCCTTAAGGTTTCCCTCGGGAATTAACAGGTCTTTTCATTTTGTAAAACTTAAACAGCATGGATCAAACATTGGCTTACTATGCTAATGTGTGATGAGAAAAGGTTATCTAAAGCAGGTGAGCTTTAATGAACAAATGTATATTTCCTCTGAGTTTGATTAGGATGTGTGTGGTTTTGTTTTTTAATTAAAAGTAAGTCCAGTTCTCACAGATATTAATAAAAAATTGTTACTCATTCTTGAAAAGGTGCAAATGTCCAATTTAAAAAAACAAAAGAAGTAGGGTGATAGCTCTACCCATGAGAAGAATGTTTACCAGCAGGTTCATTGATTATTTTGGATCTGGAACTTGGCTTTGTTTTTTAAATAGTGATAAGAATGGTGGAATACTAGGAAAGTTCTGGAAGATGCTGTCAGTTTTACTTTAAGAATCTGGTTTTTCTGTATTTTATTGTTTTCAATAAAACTTCTAAGTGTTTTGGACTTTTTGAGATATCTGTATTCCTGCATTTAAGTAAATTGTCATCAGCGAGTTTGGAAAAGTCCAGGGGGTAGGAAAGGTCCTTAATGCTCAGTAACATGGCCACTCCTTTCTTGAGTCGACAGGTCACTGGGCGGCAGTGTTGCCTGCATGTTCACAGCCATTATTAGATAAATGTGGATCCCTATTTGTGGGTGGGCAGAGTTTTCAATGCAGTTACCTTTTTTACCAGAACTGAAAATCACAGCTAAAAGTTACCTAATTTATTTTTATAGATTTGAAAACTAACCCTAAGTAGACAGTGACAATTTAGTATCATCAGTTCGCCAGGTCCAGGGTTTTTTCTACTTGACCAGTATTTTTACAGACAGTTTTTTGACAGCAATACCTAACGTGTTTAGTCATTGAAATAAACTACTGTAAGGTATAGTTCAGGCGATGTTAACTTTAAACGCCTTGAGGGAATATAGTTGTATATATATCTGTTTGGTTCAAATACTCTTAGCAGTGGCATTTGAGAGATGAACTTAATGCAGTTAGAATAGATAGGATGTTGTCTTTAAAAACTGGTTAGCAGGTAAACAAGCCAGTCTTCCTGTCCCTTCATTAACTTTAGAAGTCACAGGGTCAAGACTGAATGTCTTTAAAGATGAGCATTTGATGCCATAAAGTATTCCTGGTGTAGGAATTACCTCTGCCTACAGGTTTATTCCTACGTTGCCTGTACCCGCAGCACACCTGCTAGAGAAGCAAGGAGGCAGGCACACATCAGTGTTTGAAGGTTCAAGGAATTGGTGTCTAGCCATCTGTCACCTGTTTCTTTTCATCAGAACTGTGGACAACCTTTTGCTTTTAGTAGCAATCTTGCTTTGGTTTTGTGGGGAAAGATCCTGATTTTCATTTTTTAACTATTCAATTTAGTGTTTCAATATGAAGATACCAGTGAATATCAGGTGTTTTCTCAGGTCTGAGCACGGTGTTTAGTAATTTTCACCCATCTGTGCAGGAAATGAAAACTCAATCTATACTCTTGTGTGTTACACCTGTTAATACAGCTGTTTTTCATGTGATGCCACTAAATGTAAATTATCTGAACCCCAATCTTCAGATGCTTGTTCTATAATTTTGAAAGCTAAAACATATCTGTACCTTTGCCTATGTTGTTGTTGAGTCACTCAGTTGTGTTCAACTCTTTATGACCCCATGGACTGTAGCCTGCAAGGCCCCTCTGTCCATGGGATTTCCCAGGTAAGAATACTGGAAAGGATTCCTGTTTCCTTCTCCAGGGGATAGATCTCAACCCAGGGATCAAACCCACATTTCCTGCTTGGCAGGCAGATTCTTTACTACAGAGACACCTGGGAAACCCACATTTACTTAAACAATCCCTAAATAGATTCTCAGCACTTAAGTTTTCAGTTCTAGAAAATCAGGTGATCAGTTTTTAATTGTGGGGACAGCTGGGGGCTTGTTCTTATATTTACAAAACAGAAACTCAGAGCTTAAGCAAGTTCACATTGCTAGGCACTAGGATTGAACTCTGGCTTCAGTGATGATAGATTGTCTTGCCTACTAGTGTGCTGGGTATGCTCCCAGTCACACCAAAGGCATTCCCCTTGTATTAATATACTTGGTTGAAACCATAGCCTGCTGTGCATTGCTACTTGGGATTCTTTGAATCCCATCTCATTTGGTCTGCTTTCACTGACCTCCCCAGAGGTAGTCAGTAAATACTGACTGGCATAGAATGCTGGCATGGGTGAAATAATTTTTATGAATTAGGGAACTCCTTTAATAGCTTGTTAAGTGGTTTCCCAAGGAAAAGAGGCAGCATGATGGGGTTAAGTATGTAATTTGAAGGTCATATTGTCTAGGATATTTTCTTGAACAGGTTCATTGTTTTGTGAGATATGTTCTATAGTGTATATAACTCTTTTAAGAGATTAAAACCCTTCCAAAGTGGAATAGGAGATAACCATCAACTTTTGGGATGGTGCCTGGCTTTGTACTAGGTGCTTATAATGCATCATTTATTTGAATCCTCTAGTAGCCTTTAGAGATACTATCACACCCCTTTGAGGTGGGGAAATAAGGTATTTTGAGATGAGGAATTAAGTGGTATTTTATGCCCAAGATCACCCAGCTAAATGGGTGGCAGAGTTGAACTCAGGGAGTCTGAGTCTAAAAAAATGCTTTTTCTTTTTTTAAATGCTCTTAATCTCTGTAATATCAATAGCAGTATTGATACTTAATAGCATGACCTGTAACAAGATGTTATGGCAAAATGGTTGTTAAGTGTTCTAGCTCTACCATTTATTAGCTGTAATATCAGTCAGTTAGGCTGAAGAAACTGTCTCAAATATAGTTATCGGTCAGAGTGTAGTAGGGCAGCCAGGAACTGAAGCAGGTGGTAATTAAGGGGGAAAAGGCCTTCACTCACTGTAAAAAGTGGCTCAGTGAAGCTGGATAAATCACTACCATGGCAGTGGAACACCCCAAAAGAACAACAAGACTTTAAAAGTTCAAGAAACATTCGAAGAACAAAGACACTGCGTTGTACTTTTTAATTGCACAGGTAGTTTTAAATAAATGGAGAAAGCACCTTCCAAAAGTTATACTAGCAGGGAAAGATTTCATCAAGCATTTACACAGTAGTTTTCTGTAATTTTACAAAAGACTCGATCTTTCCTTGAACTGTACATGAGGGAAAAGGAGCCCCTCAGGTAGGCGTTCTGCTTGCAGAAGCAAACTAAAGGACCTAAAATCAGAGGCAAGCCTGCAATGCCAAGAAGGGGAAAGAGAAATTGATCAAGGACCACTCCGTAACTCCATGTCTGAAGCACTTATCGCCTGACCCTTGTGTAAGTACTTCAGGGCAAACCACCGCCCTTAAGATAAAGGTACACCCTCAGAAGCTATAATTCTCGATCACAGTAATGTTATCTACGTACCCCCGACCACTAAAGGTCAAAAGACAACACTTGGGGTAACCTAGGCGGCCTGAACAAATCCTTTAGAGGAGCTCTCCAGGACCACACCCCGTCTACTCTGGCTTTTTGGATGAAGCACAGGCCTCTGGGCTGCCCTCCCGGCAGTGTCACAGTCAGGAAAAGAGCATCAGTACTGGATCACCCCTCAGACACTAATCAGCTGGGGAAAGAGTTCACTGGCAAAAGGGTCCTCCCAAGAATGGTCTGCATCAAGCAGGGAGGACATGTCGCTCAAGGGAGAAGGGGAACCCTCATAGCTACAGTCACTGTAAGCATCCAGCAGGCAGGAAGATGGCTTCAGGCAGTTGCTGGTTGAAAGCAGATCTGAGATACCCAGCTCTGGAATGAAGTCATCTTCTACAAGTTCTTCCTTCACTGAGACAGTGAGTTCAGGGTGATCTTTCTCTGAGGGGCTGAAAGGTGCTTCCTCAATTTTCACTACCACATCGGCTTGGCTCTCTGTCTCAGAGGGCATCTCTAAGACTAGGGGCTTTGTATATACATGGTCAAAACGAATCAGTTCATTAATGGCTTCCAGCTTGGCTGATGACGTCCCCAGGGATGCAGAAGGGGAGGCTGGTAAGGAACTGGGTCCTTCTGGGTCCACTTCTGGGAGCTGCTCCAGGCTGGCAGACTCTGGGGAAGGACATCTGAGGAACATGACTGGATCCAAGTTGAACAGAATGCCCAAGAGGATATCAGACTAGAAAAGGAAAAATTAAATGGCATTCAACTGTTAAAGAGTACATTGAGAATCGACCTTAGTGCTAGGTTCCATAATGTAAACTAACCATTACGCTACAGGATGATCTCTGGGACCCACCAGACCCACTCATGTATCCTTCACTGCATGTCCTAGACCACCTGGAAATAGGAAGGTAGCCAATGTTCACCCCCAACTCAACCAAAATGACACTGCCCTCATCTGTCTGGTTAGGGCTGTCAGGCATCACACAGATGGAACCGAGTAAACAGCTCTACAAATCTAAGTAAGCCCTACCTCAGAGTCTGAAGAGTAAACACCATCAGAGTCCATGGGGAGATGTTCTGGACGGGTGACAACTGGGCCTGCACCTGCTGCAGAGGTGCACGTAGTCTGAGTGCTGCGGACTCAGCAGACCCGGCCACCAGCCCCGCTCCATTCCCCTGGAAGGAAAGACCAGTCAGTGAACAACTCCAACAGCTGGGTGTCCCCAGGGAAATGCTTGCCAGGAGGCTGTGATTCTCAACTTTCAAGAAAGCTAAAAAAAACTTTTTTTAAAAAATTCATTTATTTTGGCTGTGCCAGATCTTAGTTGACAGCATGTGGGCTAGTTCCCTGACCAGGGATCAAACCTGGGCCCCTGCATTGGGAGCACAGAGTCTTAGCAACTGGACCACCAAGGAAGTCCCTAGAAAATTATTCTTTAGACTGAAATCTCTCCCTTACATATCTGTTATTTCCATTTTTTTTTTAGTCTTCCTTGAGAAAAGAAAAGCGAGGTAAGGCTAACTTCTTTTTTATTTTCTGTACAATAAAATGTTTTTCTTCCCCAAGCTAAGATTCAGGCAGGATTGTTATTCTTAAATATCATCTTATTTCTATTCTCAGTAAGAGTAACATCCCTAGTAATAAAGTTCTATAGTGAATTGAGGCCCAGAATCTTTTTGGATAGTGCTGTACTCAGATACTCAGTCATGTCCAACCTTTTACAACCTCATGGACTATAGCCAGCAGGATCTTCTATCCATGAAATTTTCCAGGCAAGAATACTGGAGTGGAGAGCCATTTCCTGCTCCAGGGAATCTTCTTCACCCAGGGGTCGAACCCATGTTATTATTTTTTTTTCCATGTTATTATTTTTAAAGTTTGTTCTGAACACTACTTTTAGAGCAGAACTGCCAGTCAACCTTAGACCACTTATGTGTTATCACTGGATTTGCCATGATTCATAAATTAAAACCCACATATCATGCTTCCATCAGAAAGGTGTGTCTATCACAATGAATCCCTTCTCTTATTCATATTCATCAAAGAGCTATTTTAATTTTAGTGGCATTCATAATCAGGTTTGACTGCCACTCTTACCCTGGTTCTCCTCAATGATGGCATTGTAGACACATGTCAGCTACCGGCATCTGTTAGTACTTGCTCTCAGAGAGTCGTGTAACTTATTCCAGTTATTAGGACTTAGTACTATTCACTACACCCTTGAAAAATGAATATCCTTAAAGAAAGAGGTCATGTCATTTAAAACCAGTTCTTACATACGGCACCAAACAAAGGACATGACTCACCTTGGTCTCTGCTTCCTCATCAGTCACTAGGGCATCCATCCCCAACCGCTGTCTTAACTCCTGATTCTCAACTACAAGGCCATGAGTTTTCTCTCGTAAAAGCTGATTTTCTAACAAAAGTTTTTGGTTCTGGAAGAAAGTTCAGAAGAGGTTATTAAAACATCACATTCTTTCACTTTAAGAATACACCTGACAGAGTTTCACTACAGTAGGTTTTCTTTCCTTCTCCTGGATCTTTTGGAAAACTATGCTTACACAGTTTTCATAGTACATATTAGAAGGCAAGGTGATAAATATAAAAAATAAGCTATTTAAGACATACCATTACATGAGGGTCATATATAGCAAAGTGCGCCAAACTACTAATAGAGACCTCAGCAAAGAGTGACTTGTGGCTTTAATTTAGATGTGATGGTTTAAAAAATCCTATCTTGAACTGGTAGGTAATAATAAAAGTGATGGTGGTGAGCTGTAAAATTATCACGTTTTAAAAAAAGAACAACACAAATAATCTTTATGTATTCAAGATGTGTAACTGGCAATAATTTAAGTTTAGGTAACAAGTGCGCCCAAGAAGGGGAAGGGAACCGTTGGTGAACTAAGTCAGGAAAATTTAAGCAATGATTTCCTATCAGCTTTTACTAATTTCTTCGTACTGATAAAACATTGTTCTATCGCTGTAATTCACCAACAATCCATTTAGATTGATCTAGTACCAAATACTGGAGAAGGCAATGGCACTCCACTCCAGTACTCCTGCCTGGAAAATCCCATGTACAGAGGAGCCTGGTAGGCTGTGGTCCATGGGGTCGTGAAGAGTCGGACATGACTGAGCAACTTCACTTTCACTCTTCACTTTCATGCATTGGAGAAGGAAATGGCAACCCACTCCAGTGTTCTTGCCTGGAGAATCCCAGGGACGGGGGAGCCTGGTGGGCTGCCGTCTATGGGGTCGCACAGAGTCGGACACGACTGAAGCGACTTAGCAACAGCAGCAGTACCAAATACCCGGAGAAGGCAATGGCACCCCACTCCAGTACTCTAGCCTGGAAAATCCTGTGGATGGAGGAGCCTGGTAGGCTGCAGTCCATGGGGTCACTAAGAGTTGGACACGACTGAGCGACTTCTTTCTTTCACTTTCAGCACCAAATACCAGAGGGTGAATCACTTCTGTTCTCATCAAGCTTCACCACTTTACCTTTCTACCCTAACTTAGATTAGCTTAATTTTTAACAACACATCCAATTGTATTCTAAAGGAGATGAAATCACCATTCACCAGGGAAAGCTACACAATGGATGTAAGATAAAGTGTTTGGCCTTAAGTATTTTTACCTCTTCTTCCAAATCTACCACTTGTTGCTCCAGCTCAGTCATTCGAGCTTTCTTTCGGTCTCTGGCAGTCTGAGCTGCTACTCTGTTTTTCAGTTTCCTGAGAACAGAAAGAGACATACCACAACTGAATCATCTCAAACCTTATTTATCTTTATTTGAAAACTTGGCCAGCTGGTGCTTTCATTTTAATTTACAGTACAGAATAATGGTAAAATACACTTCAGGCTCCTCTCCTCAGTAAAACAACAACAAAAAAAATCAGCCTTCTGTGGATCTAGCTAGCAGACCTACTCATCCTCCCCCGTATTGCGTCACCCACCTCAGCCACGTCCCCACCACAGCACAGAGGTTGCATCATAAGATATTTTCTCCTCCCCTTTCTATTTCCCGTTGATTCCTGATTACAGTCCCCTCAAAAAGGATCCAACCAGGACTAACCTGGATTAGGATTAAACCTAGCGAAGGCTGCAATCGCGCTACTGCAGCCGATAACGTAGTAACAACCTAACACCAAACAGAGAGAGGCTGATGCGACTTTCCTCTTGATGCTGACAGCCTAGGCCCGTGTCTGCTCCAGGAGGCACTTCATAAATCACAAAAAGCACACTGATCATAAAAGAACTAACATTTACGAAGGACTAAGCACGAGGCATTTCTCCACCGCCCCAGCGACCTCGGCAAGTAGATAACCATTTTAAAGGACGCAGAAACAGACTGAGGAGCCTCATAGGGCTTACAGCCCCTTCAACAGCTGGCATTTCAGTTCCGTGAGCCTCCAAAAAAGTAGGTAAACCCATGGCTCCACGTCACAGCCCAAGTTCAGAGAAGCTGAGCCAGGGGTCTGTGGTCACACAGCTAGAGGGACTGGAACCCAGGTGCCAGCGTACGCAGCTCTAGTCATCTCTAACGAGACAGAAAAGAAAGGAAGAAAAAAGGCCTGCGCTGCCCTGGACTCCACCCAGCGCAATGGATCGGCCAATTCAGACTTCCTGCCCTGCCCCGCCCCGCCCCGCGCCGCGCCACGCTGGCACCGGACCGGCCAGACACCGGAGCCCGAACGCTGCAGGCGGCCAGCGCGGCCCCAGGCCCCTGTCCCGCTCTCGATTTCGGCCCCCAAACCCCCGAACCTCGCCCACCTCCGCAGCGCCTTCTCTTCGGGGCTCAAGTGCGTGAGGCGCTGTCGCTTGCGCGCCTGGGGAGCCCCCCCGCTCGCCCCCTCCGGGCTGGCCCCTTGCTGGCCCGGCACCATGACCGGCAGAGCCCGGCCAGCCGGGGCTCCGGCGGCAGCAGCGGGCTGGCCGGACAGAAGCAGTACTTTAGGAGCCCCGGCGGCCGGGCTCTGCGCGGGTGCAACCACCACCATGGCCGGAGCCTGTCTACGCCAGTGCGCGCCGCCGCTGCCCAGTGGGGCGGCCCTGCAGGTCCCAACCTTTCTACGATCGTGGCCCTCCGCGATTGGCCATCGCCGCGTGACGCAAGCCTACCTCTGCCCCCATTGGCCCGGCGGATCCGGAGGGGGCGGGGCCAGGGCGTCCAGCGTGACCACCGCGGTCTTGGGCAGGGGGCGCCCGAACCTTTTGCGCAGTGGCCACGGGCAGAAGTTTCTGAGCAGGTGCGGGGCCTCTGAGGGCAGGGTGGGGGTGGGGCCCGGGATCTTGAGGAAGGGTCCGGAACCGGGCGGAGTTTCCTCAATAAATGGATTTCCCCTCCTGTGCTGACGGAGAGTTTAATTCGAATCCGCGAGGTTTCCAGACTGACGAATTTTGACTGAGATTTTTATCCCCGCCTGAGAGAATTGTATCTTGTGCGCCATTTCGGGCCCGGAGCTGAGTGGAAAATCCAAAGGGTAGCGCGAATCGGGCCTTGGGTTAGGAGAAAAAAAGCCTGCAGAGAAATTCCGCGAAATACGTCCTTAGGGAGTGAGATGGCCCGTTTTAAAACTAGATTTACCTCATAGTGAACGTTTAATAAACCATAGGTGATAATTCCCTGAGAATGGCGGGATGCCTGTAATTTCGTTTCTCTTTGCCTCTCTAAACTTTCAGCTATGAGCTGAAGTTTATGAAACGAAAAAAAAAGCGTGTATAAAAGATTGAGGGTTCCTGCCTGCCTGTTATGGCCGAAAGGGAGTGGGGGTGGGGTCCTTGTGAGAGAGGGGCCTCCGAACTGTAGCTGGGGACCAGTTTAGACACAGGAATATTAAAATGGAAAAAACTGAGGAAACACCCTCCACAGCCATTCTCACTTTTTTGAAGCGAATTATAAAATGTTAAGTTCCCTGGAATCACGAAGCAACCGTTGCTTTACGTTGTTGCGTCCTCTGTGCTTAGCACTGTTTTAGGTTCTGGGGATGCTGTTCTTTAGTATATAAGTCGTGATCCACTCTTTTGTGACCCCATGGACTGTAATCTGCCAGGCTCCTCTGTCCATGGGATTTCCCAGGCAAGAATACTGGAGTGGGTTGGCATTTCCTTCAGGAGATCTTTCCAACCTAAGGGTGGAACCTAAATATCCTGCATTGGCAGGTGGATTCCTTACCACTGAGCCACCAGAGAAAGCCCTGAAGGGACCCAGAAGTGAGTGAATCTCTCTGGTGGTTGGAAGATATGCAAAGAGTGAAAGAATGCTTCCAGGTAATTCTTTGGTGTTATTAAGTCAGACTAGCTTTTCAGTTATCTTTTGGTGGTGAGAAAACAAGTTGGGAAGAAGGAATGAATGAAAATTAAATCTCTCAATATACAGGCCCCTTTAAGGCATGGCTTCTGTCATCCCCAAGGCTGGACTGTAAGTCTCCTAGTTTTTTCTTCCTCCCAACCAGAGGAGTAAAATCAGTGACTTTATTTAAATTGAGTTGGCCCACCTCAGAGTGTCCTGAGCACAGGCTGCTTTGTTTGATTGGAAACGAGATGAGAGCTGATCAGAGACCAGGACAAAGCAGCCAGCCTCCCTTTTAACCTTATCAGCCTTGAGCTAACTGGGTCCTAAAGTGCATGCAGGGGTAGGACTCACTCCTGGCCCTGGAACATTTGGGGAAAATTTCTCACAATGCTTTCTAGTTGAGACATACATGTTCCTGTTACAGGACCTTGAAAAGCCGTAAGAGGTTCTGAGAGAAGCCATGTAAATGTCATGAAGACTTTTAAGTTAATATTTGTGAAGGCAAAAAGAATGTCTGGCACTGTATAAGAAATCTCAAGGCAACTAAAAGAAATTTAAATCATTTAGACTTTAAAAGAAAATGCATGAGGATTTTATCAGTCCAGCATAGTGTAAATAAATAACCATATGGAAAAGGTACAAGAGCTGGGGCAGAGGAGGAAAGGTCGATGGATCGCATTTTAGTATTGGTCAATGGGGGTAGAAATAGAATGTTGAAACTGACTCCCCCAGCTTTGTTTTCAAGGCCCTTTTAAAAAAATCTTTTTGATAAACACATTAAATCATACTCAGAAGCAGTCATTGGACCCAGTGCTGATTGCTGTCCATGGAATCATGAACACTCTTGTCCAAACCTTTGAACAGTTTTATATCCTTTCTGTAAGATTACTCTGATAATTCTTGCATCAGATGCCAGTAATATTTTAGAACAAGACACTTGTGATTGGAGTTCTAAAATATACAAAATACAAAGTTCTTAGTCTTTGTGAAATGCAAGAAAGAGTAGAACATTCAGTTCAGTTCAGTAGCTCAGTTGTGTCAGACTCTGCAACCCCATGGACTGCAGCACGCCAGGCCTCCCTGTCCATCACCAACTCCCGGAGCTTGCTCAAACTCATGTCCATCGTGTCAGTGATGCCGTCCAACCATCTCATCCTTCTTCATCCCCTTCTCCTCTTAATTTAGAACGTTAAGTCTAAATAAATGTCAATGCAAAAAAACTACACCAGAACAACCCAGTAGCAATCTGAAGCTAAGATTCAAGAACTGCTCTATCTACTACAGGAACCACTGACCACAGGTGGCAATCGATTCTTTTTTTTTTTTTTTCCCAATCTTTATTTATTTGGCTGCACCAGGTCTTAAGCCTAATCCTAAAGTTAGAGTCTTAGTTGTGGCATGCAAACTCTTAGTTGCATCTTGTAGGATCTAGTTTCCTGACCAGGGAACAAACCCAGGCCACCGAATTAGGAGCACTGAGTCTTAGCCACTGGACCACCAGGGAAGTTCCTGCCTATTTATTCTTTTTCCTACCTCTCTTTTTCACAGTCTCCATTGTAACACTCTTCACTCATGCTTAATCTTCCCAAAGTGCACTGCCCTAGGTAGAAAAATCTCTGGGCCTCAGAACAAACAGACCTATCAAGCTACTAGTGATGAGACTGGAAAAGGAAATGACCTTCATCACTGAGTATCAAATCCCTTTCCAACTCCGTTGGTTCTACTCCTTTGTTATAGACAAAATTGAGTTGTCAGCAGAGACTTCAATACCATAGTTTTTAATGATAAATCATTATCATTGGCTTCTAACTCGAAAGATGTTCAGACAATTGAAGGGCATTGTTATAACCAAATATGCCTTCCTTACCTATCCATTTAGGTATATGAACAAGGTTTGGGGGCACTCTTTTAATGAAAAAAAAAAAAAGGAATAAAGTTAATGTTGAATCTTGCCTCACTCTAGCAATAAGTACTGTTAATCCACTAATACATGATGGAAAGATACATTTCCAATGTATTTTATTCTGTTTAATAATTACCAAATTTTGGAATACAAGTTGTTTTGATAAGGTTTATAAAATTTGTCATGATTTAAATTGTTACAATAGCTCCATGCAAAATAATTTTTTGTGGTTTGAAAAAAGCTTTAAGATGCATATATATTTTTTTGTGTGCAAGGAAGCCTATTAGGTAATCAACAGTAGACTTTTAAGCATAAACCTATGTTGCATTGAGATAAAACCTGTAAGGAAAGTAGAATGGGCAGGAATGCACAGGGTGATGCTGTGTTCTTGTCAGTGCATCCTATCGGGGGCACAAGATGACCATTAGTCCCATAACTAGTGATGTTAATTCTTACCAGTTGGTTACCATAGTAGCCCCTGAAGTGAATTAGTACTGGTACTGATTAAGAATAAGAAAGATATTTGTAGAAAGATATTTTAAGATTTCTAGCTATCCTCTTCCTCATTAGATTTTCACTCACAGTCCTAGGATCCATAGATGATTCTTCCTTAAATTAATTGTTACCACAGTGATTTCCTTTCTTTAAAAATAAGAAAAACAAAACACTTTATTCTTGACTGCGCTGGGCCTTCATTGGCTGTGCGCTGGCCTCAGTGTTTGGCTTCTTACTGTGGTGGCATCTCTTGTGTTGGAGCACGAGCTTTAGGGCAGATGGGCTCAGTAGTTGGGGTGCATAGGCTTACTTGCCCCAGTGGCATGTGGGGTCTTTTTGGGCCAGGGATTAAACCCGTGTCCCCTGCCTTGCTAGGTGGATTCTTTAACTGATGACCACCAGGGAAGTCCCACAAGGCTTTCTTAGACTGCTAGTACAGGCTGTTATTTAACTCTTTGACTGTTACCTAGCTTTCCATTTTTGTACACATTGTTAAGTTTTTCCAACTGGATTTCAAAAAGCTCATTAGAAACAGAAGCGTGTGTTACACTTCTTTGTGTTTAGTATAGTGCAGAATACACATTAGACATTCAATAAATATATTTTTAAATGGTTATTAAACTGTTAGGTTGTCTGTAATATGCTTCAAAAGACAGAACATCTTTTAAATTACCCTTGCAGATTGCTACATAATACCATTTTCTTGAAAGCAGAATTCAAGGCAAAGCTGGTCTGTCTTGGACTCATTACTAAAGCCCAAAATGTTCTCATTTTAAGGCACTAAGGCAATATTTCTAGTTATTTATGCAGCATCTATTGTATTTTTCTTCCTTATTAAAAATAATAGTAATAATACTTTTGTACAGGTTGCCTAACAGAAAACATTCAGCTTCCCAATTCCCTGCAAACTCTGAGTAGATGTGGAATGAAGTTCAGGCCAGTGTATAAGTGGAAGTAGTAGGCAGAGAGGATTCCAGGAAAGCTTGTTAAATGAAGACTCTGCTGGGAGGTCTTACACCTTTTGACTTTTGCTCCTTTCCCCCAGGCAATGCTGCTTGCCTGCAATGCTGATGACAGTGGAAAGATTGAGACAGTTCACCAGCCACCCTGCAAACATGAGGGAGGAAGCTACAAACTAAGGATATCAGAGAGTAAAGACAGAAGGAGTCTGGGTTCCTGATGCCATCACAGAGTGGTCATCTAGCCCTGACCTAGTTCTAGACTGCCCACTTACAGATCCCAAGTTATGTGTGACAAGTAGAATTATCATAGTGGCTGGGTTTTTATTATCTGCCATACAACACAAT